TTCAGATTGGGCATGTCGCGGTCACTCTCTCTGAAGATGGAGTGGGGAAGTCATTTTGTAAACATCAGTAATGAACGACGACATAAAGAAGTGGTATCTCTTTACGCCGGCAACTAGGCCGGATGTCGACGAGGTTATGAGTTTCACAGAAGATATAAGTCCGTACAAAAAAAAGAAAATCAGTCAATGTTTTATTTATTTATTTATTTATTTATTTGTATTTATTAACCATACAGTCCATTAAAGACTAATTATATGGATAAACTGTTGGAAAATACACTACAATGATAGCTATTGAATATAGATCTAGATTACTGAACTATTACTTACTGATACCAGACTTGTAGGGAGTCGTCCATAACTGCACTGAGTTGGTTCGTCAAATATATGTTTAGTTTGACTGAGTTTCAATATTTCAATATTTGTTCTAAAATTGTTTTACGAAAAACTGATAGAGGTAAGGTCCAATCTAAATCCATAAGTAGATTGAAATTGTTTGCTAATTTAATCATAGCTAAAAGAGGTGCTCTCGATGATGTACATATTGCAGAGATATTAAACATTGGTGCGGAACGTATACACCGTGGAGGTACATTAAATGGAAGCATATTGAGGAATTCTGGGGAATTTGTTAAATTGTTTATTAATTTATACAGGAATATCATTGATATTAAAGTTCGTCTCTGGTCTAAGGATAGTATCTTGAATTCCGATCTTAATTGATATGTCCTGACGGTATTATAATTAGGCCACACGTGGTACTTTTCAAAATACAAATATCTCAACAGTTTGTTTTGTACTTTTTCCAAATTATTTAGATATGTTTGATATTCACCGGCCCAAATAATTGAGGCTAATTCTAGTTTAGGCCTGACCAGGGAAGAATATAATAATTTAATGGTGTTAATATTGGCAAAATTCGATGTTTGTCTGATAACAAAACCTAAAATACGATCAGCGGACTTAATCATGTTATTAATGTGAGTGGAAAAGTTGAATTGTGAATTATAGCTAACAACAAGATCCTTTATTTCAGTTTTTCTCTCTAGGATCTCTCCCTTCATTTCATATTCAAACAGAATTGGCTCTTTGATACGGGTGATTGAGAGTACAGAACATTTTTTCGAATTGAAATATAATTTATTTCTTAGACTCCAATCCATGGTTTTATCAATATCTCTCTGCAGACCTGTACAGTCTCGAACAGTTTGAATACGTTTGAAGAATTTTAAGTCATTTGCAAAAAGTAAGCGCTCCAAAAATTCAAGAGTTGAAGACCAATCATTAATGAAAAGTAAAAACAGAAGAGGTCCTAGGTTCGAGCCTTGTGGAACTCCAGAATTAGCCAGAAATTTTCCTGGAGTATTTCCATTATGTTTGACCGTGAAGTATCGTTTTTGAAGATAATTCTTCATCAATTCAAGCAAATTTCTGGACAATCCATAGCCACTACGCTTGCAAATATATAGAGTGGTAGTACTGGTTCTTTTTGTTTCGAATAAAAATTATGATGAAATCATCAAGTTATTTAATCGCTGAAACTAGGTGATGGTCTAGTAATCAAGCCCAAAAAACGAAGGACGAGAGAGAAAGAGAGGAAGAAATATCCATGCATGCCATCATAAAATCCAAAAGAAATATGATAATTCAATCAACATTGAATTGCTCAGCGAATTGTTTGAGTTTTGTAGCAAATATTTTACTAAAAATATCGCATGATTGTAAGATATGGCTGCAAAAGAGATCCACAAGATACTTGGATGCAGAATATCCAGATAGTGTCTGAAATTCCAGTTGAGGTTAATATGCATAATCCTGTCAAAGTTTCTTGAGCGTCAGTATATTTGCTCTGGCAACTATGAAAATACTCGATAATGGAAGTTTTTCCAGCAGCCCCTATACAGCAAAAGTGAAAACATTTTTCCCTGGGGTAACCGTTGGTCACTTAAACTAATATATGTTTGTCATTATGCTCAGTGATTTTAAATTTTATTTGTTCAACCCGCCTTCTCTAATGAATTTCAAACCAAAAAGTGTTCCGTAATTATGTGTTATTAAAATCTCCATCACACGTTACCGAGATTTATGTTATACAGCAGGTTGAACTCCTGCGTGTTTCATTATTAAAAATTCCGGTAGCTTGACATTGAAACAAAAGCGTGTAAATGGGAAATTTGGCGAAATTATGGAAATAATGGCAGTCTTATACCCCGTTGCCTTCATTATTTTCCGTTGTAGGAGAAAATGTGTATGTGCTCAACATCATCCATATTTGGGAACATGACTAAGCACTTTTGTGAACGTCGAGGTGTTTTTCATACCGACGTCGGAGTAGATAATCTATAAGGGAAGTGCTCTAATGGACTTTGGATGGAGTGAATTCGTATTGTTGAATAAATAATATTTCCAGAGGTTTGTCAGATGATTTCCTGATCAGAAAGAAACAATGCAATGAGCTGAACCATTTTAATATCTATGGTAGATAAAATATTCAGTGAAATCCATACCGCCAAAATTTCACATAGTTTGAAATTGAGTTCAGTTGCTTGAAATAACCTGCCATGAGAATTAAAAAACTTAAATAACTTATTCAAGTGAAACTTCATTGTAATATTTTCATCTTATTGGGCAGATTACAAAGCCGCAACATGTGTTTCGGTATACAATAGCTTCTTCAAGCGAATTCATACTGAATTAATACTAACCTGCAATTAATAACTATTTGAATCATATGATCTCCTACCTACTCGATGACTCATATTTTTCTACATGAGTTTGGTTATGAAGTGATTGAAAATTTGAACACTATGAAAAAATTATCAACTCATTGAATGGACATGCGATGGACTCATTACCACATGCGAAAAAGGAAAATAATTCAATTTTAATTGGTCGCTCAGTGAATTTTATGAATTTTCGAATCAACAAATCTCTAAAATTTCCAAACATTCCAAAAAACTCTTCCTAATTTACTACTCCAAACTGTAAATTCTGCACCTACTCATTATTTATTTGACCCAAAATCATTTTCAATTCGAAGAAAAGTTTGGATAATGCAGCGAAGGGCTAATAATGGGACAAAGATTCTTCAAAAAATTTCATTCATATTATGTTATTGCTTATGAGAATATTATCCACATATCAAAATTTTGTCTGATTCGCCTGCAGTAAAACCTCCTTGTAGCAGGATGGTAGTTAAGCTGCGATACCATTCTCTAGAAGATTGTTTCAAACCATGAATGGTTTCATTCAGTTTACATACTTTGTGAATATTTTCACAACCGGAGGGTTGTTTCATGTGAATATTCTCGGTTAAATCTCTATTCATAAGTTAGTTTTGAAAACCATTTGGTGAATAAGGAATCTATATTAAATATATCCAATAAATTTTATTGGAAATAGAAAATGATATTTTCAGTGTGTTTAGTGTGAAAACTGAGGAATTTGTTTCATTGAAGTCCAAGCCTTTCCTTTGAGAGCACCCCTTGGCCACTAACCTAGCTTTATACCTTGTGATTTGTCCATGTTCATTATATTTCAGAGTAAAAATTCAGTAACAATTGATAGCACTTTCACAAGGTGAATCTACTAGAGACCATGTTTCATTCATCTCCATTGCCTCTAATGCTTTTTTCATTGCCTTTTCCCATGCAACTCTGTCTGGGTTCTTTCAGGAATATCTGCATCTATATAATTCACAGCGTTTGATGTATAAGCAACATTGCATAGTTTTTTTGCCAGGCAGTCTTCAAATTTTCGTTTGTACTTTGTCCTATTTCTCTTAAAATTATCTCTCTTTGAGATTAGTGGTTTGCCTTTTTATTTCTTGAATGTACACGACTACAATGAATATACACGACTACAACTACATAACAAAATGAATGTGACATATGACACGGAACATGTATAAGCAACATTACCTACATAGTTTTTTTGCCAAGCAGTCTCAAAATTTCCGTTTGTACTTTCTCCTATTTCTCTTAAAATAATCTTTCTTTGAGATTATCCGACTTCTGCTTCTTCCATTTTATAACCTTTTGCTTGAGGTTCTTTCACTTCGAATTCTTCCAATTTTTGTTGTATATTTGAGTGATTGTCATAAGAAATGAATGATGTATGCATATATTTCGAGTTGTCATCAAAAATCGCGTTCCTTCTAATGGTAATTTGGTTTAATTTCCAGTTGTGGCGTGTAGGCCACATAGAGCTTCTAGAGTATTACTTCTGGGCTGATATTAACAATTCCAACTGTACAGGGCATTTACTGGGCCCATAACCTGTTATTTGTGCATGAAATGGAGAACATTTTATTTGTAATTACCGACAAAATACTACAGTGGTTTGCCTTTTTATTTCTTGAATGTACACGACTACAATGAATATACACGACTACAACTACATAACAAAATGAATGTGACATATGACACGGAATATATGACCATAGAACTCCAAAATGAAAAGTCATTAAGAAATGAGAAAACTGACGGACAGAAATTGATGATATATGGGGTGCCAAAATATTCAGGCAACGAGAAAGCTGATGAGTGTACCTGAAACGAATCGTCAACACAATATATAACAAAAATAACGATGATGATAATAATGATGGAAGTATCAAAATAATAATGAAATAATGAAGGTTGTAAACCAGCTGTATGAGTCTTTGGTGCGAAACCAGATAGGAAAGTGTGTCCATGAGAAATGAAGACCTTTGCTGCAGGCAATGCAACAAAGGGTTCATAAGAGGCAAACAATTCAGGACAACCTGAATTATGCTCAGAGGAATATGAAATACGTCCAACAAGAAACATGTACAGACTATTACAGGGAAAAGTGTAAGTAGGTTATTTAGTTCCAATTGTATCAGTAAAAATAATTGACATTCAAGTTTCTCTGCATACTGTTATCGCCTGATAATTTTTTGAGTTTAAGTAAATCTTCCATTATATCTTAATGATTGATAGGAATTAAACGGAAATGATACGAATAATAATTCTCTACTACGAGTTCCATTATTTAAAATTTTATTGAAACTTATCAGTTTTGAATTAACAATAAGTGATACTAACATAACTCATTATTGTGAATATTTTAAACTATGAATTATGAACTGTTATATAACGATACATGTTTGGTCAATTCGTATAGAATTGGTCAAATAAATCTTATGAGAATTAGACTACGCTTCAGAGCTTGAGGGAGTATATAGAACTGGACTTTTATTTTCACTGTTAAGAGACCCTTGAGTAAACTGCTCGTATATTTGCTGCTTTCTCACCATTCTATCTACTTGTATCTGAGATTTTATACGTCTTATCGACCTCGCCAGCAGATGAGCAAATATGACTCCAAGTAACTGAAAAAAAAAGATTCAAACAGATTCAGCACGGAAAAAGAAAACGACAATTTATTGAAGTAGCACTTCATTGTGAGATTTTCACTGGATAATTTATCTTTCTCAAGCATTCTCACACTGAAAGCTATTGTATAGCGAAACACGTGTTTCAGTTTTGCAAACTGTCCGGCAAAAATCTCACAAGAAAACGTTGCTTGGATAAGTTATGAATTATCATCAAATATCGGCTCCGTGAAATAGACGACAATATTGCAATCGTGTATTAGAGGGCATTGTTTTTGTGAAAGAGACAAATACTCCTTTGGTTTTGAATTCTCCACAAACCAAAAAATCAATAGAATGTGTGACAAACGACAAAGAAAAGTTACTGAATGATTCGAACCTTTCAGAAAGTGGCTGTCGAAACGACAGCCAATTGTTGATAACTTATTCAAAAAACACATTTCAACGTGAGACTTCCACTTGAAACTTGGTCCACGGTTTGGTGAACTTTAGAGTAGAAATCTCACATTCGAGTGTGTTTTTGAATGTATCGGTAAGTTTTATCATATTTTTCTTGATAACTGTTGTAGATTGAACTTGAAAATGTGGATCGTAGTGAAACAGCAAATTTGAAGGAGAACTTCAATGAACTTGCAAATTCAAAATGAAAAGTAACAAACAAACTGAATAAAATAATCAACTTGCTCAACTTCGAAACAACAACGTACAGCAACCACATAAAACTAAACAATGTGAATATAAATAGCAATTCAGTGGTATTTCAATAAACTCAAATCTCCTCAAAATGAGTACTGCTCGGAGGTTTGCTGCTATATTTCGTATTTGAAATATACCTCCTTGTACTAGACTAGGATCAATAATTTTTGAAAGAAAAAACAATAACAGTGCGACGAAACCCATTAGAAAACGAGGGGAATATGATGAAAATGAAAGGAAAAATAAATTACAGGCGATCGATGGTATACACTGTAATTTATTTGATTTAAAATATTCATTCTTTCACCTCCTTTTCAGTCGAAAATTCTCGTGTCAAAATATCAGATTTTTTCGAATAGTCGGTGTGCTTTTTTGTTCGTTCAAATATCTACTTTCCGATGGTGTGAAAAAAATATGTATTACTATAATGAATGTTCTCAGAAAATGCAAAAAATTCGAAAAAAACTTGAATTCGAATTTTTTCCAATCATTATGTGAAATTTCATCAAAAAAAGGGATTTCTGCAATTTCATCCAATTGAAAAGTTCATTTATTGTATTCTAATTGCATTCATGTCGCAAAAATCTCATAAAATGTAAATCGTACTATTGAATTTCGATACTTCATTCTGATTACGTTATTAATTATAAAATTTTCAAAATAGTTAATCTTGTCACTTATAAATACCTCATCTTGAATTTTAATCACTTTCAAATTATTGTTTGTATCTTTGATGGCACTTCTTCAGGACCATCACCTTCTTCGTCTCCAATATTATTTTCAGTCTGCATTGGTTCATCCACAATTTAATCTGAATCATCAACTTCCTTGTACGTTTTTTCTTCCATATTGGAGCAATTTTCAAAACCATGACAATTTGAGCATGAATTTGTGCATTTTAAACCATATTTTCGACAGGCACTGTTATATCCAGTTTCACAGCTGCAGAAAATAGTTTCAAGCAATACTTCCGGAATTGGTATCATAATCACTCAATAGATTTTTTATGAAAAGCACAGAAATAATTTTTAGGGTATGTTAAGTCAAATTAGTGTACCTTTTCCATGAACCCATTCCAACCATCGGATTTTTTGTTTCAATTTGTTTCAAATTTAGAATGAGACCATGTAAAATCTGCCGAAGAAATTTCATAGTTGTCCGTAATATCTGAAATATCTTCTATCTGAACTGTTTTGAACCCATCGGAATTGATGTTTTCAAATCATTTCAATTTTACAAATCCAATTTCGTCTGTTTGAATTTAGAGATAGTTATCTGTGAAGTAATACTAGACGCCCATTGCATGAGAAGTATTCTTGCCATCAATCGTGCATTATGATCCGCTTTGTCATAAATAAATTGAACGTATGAATCTGGAGAAAACGTATGATTAGCCCATTTAAAACCACTACCAATATTTTCAGAAAAATCTTCAATTTTTCGACATATACATATTTATTCATATATACTAAAACATCTCTGGGGTTTGAACAAAAAAAAAATAATAAACTAAACAATATTTTTTTGAGTTGCGTAAACGCAACATTGGTAACAAATGCATAAAAAATTTCAAAATATTATTCATGATATTTCTTGAAACAGTTCGACTGTAGTGGAATTCTACATTTATTGCACATGAAAACCGTTGTGCTTTTACATAACCTGCATCGTCTTCTCCAGTTCTCTGAATTTTTTTCTATTATATGACCAACATTATCGAGTCTGACAGAAGATGGTAGAGATGATGTGGAACCACGTCCTCGGATAGATTGTGCCTTACGTTTGTTGGTACTCATGAGGCTTCGTGCAAGTTCGAACCTGAAATCCAGCTGCGAATTAGGCTTATCACTATATACAAGCCGGTGAAGTTTCCGAGCATTCACCACAGAAGAATCTAACATGTTTATAAACAATGGCCACCACCATTTTTTCCCACGAATATTGATTCGATAGTTTGCGATTGCGATTGATCATGTAAATCAACGCCTCCCATATATTTGTTATATCTGGCAATCATGTTAGGTTGGAGAATCAAAGTTTCGCATTTCTCCTTTCGATTGTACCTTTTCACAGATACAAGAGGCTGCACAGATTCACAATTGGTTGCTACTGTTACCACGGAATTATCATACCAACGTACTATGCCAATTTCATTCACGTGATCGTAACGGAAATCCATACTACCACGCAGTTTTTTTCCTATAGTTTTATTGTTCTCTAATGGGAATTTCAGAATCCTGTTCTCGCGTACAGTTCCAGTTGCTTGTGAAAAAGTTGTCGAAATAAATCTTATGAGCTGATCTAGTTTTTAGCACTTTCAATAGATCAATAACAACCTCTTCACCAAGAACAAATTCTTTTCTGACTTTTTGAGGATTTCTTCCACCATAAGGTATGAATTGGTATAAATATCCATCACTAGAAGTTAGGCACCACATTTTGAAACCAAAACGTACCGGTTTTCCCTTCAGGAACATTTTTGCCGAATGACAACCAAAATAGGGTACCATTTGTTCATCAATCGACAGATGATGTCTGAAAACACCATATTTCAAGTAATTCGCATTCAAAATATCAACTAGTGGTCGAACTTTGGCGAATTTGTCTTCCTCATCCAGCTGATTGTTGTCGGCAAGGTGAATATCTTGCTTTATATCAAGAAATCTGTTTCAAAACATTGCATCTTTCACAAATTGAACTCCTTTATCTTCATCAGAAGACCAGTAGAGTTGTAATTGTGGAAAAGTGTGATATCCACTCAAAATCAATATTCTAAAAAATATCTCTAAGTCACCCTGTTCTAACTCAAAATTGGGACGGTTATGATCTCTGGAATATTTGATGGAATTATTTATTATCAACTGCATCACTTCCCCATCAAACATTTGCTTGAAGAAATCTAGTACTGATTTTCCATGAAGTTCCTCAACCATAGATTTTACGTCCCTTTCCTCATTTGAAGTAGCATCAATCTCGTAGTCGACAGGTATTTTACACCAAATTATATATTCCATCCTTGCCGCTTTTTTTGGTGGAGGCAAGGCTGCCTCATGAGGCATATTTTCTTGAAATTCGCCATCGTTAGCCACATGCATTATTTCAAACGTTCCTGCTAAATTTACAGGCAAATTTTCTAGTTTACCTGTCACATCCTCGTCGATATTCGCCTCATCCGTAAGATCATCGACCTCGGGTGGTATATAAAAAATATCAATATCGTTTTCCTCGTTCAGGTCCAGATCCTCAACAATTGCTTCTAATTCTCGAAGAGTCAATGGTCTCTTCCAGACGTTATTGTTCATTCTACTCTGAAACAATTACGAATATTCGAAATACGCACATTGGGCAACAAGAAATACTCACTATTACTCTGCAGTCCTCAAGATGACGATATTCTAATGCACGATAACTTTCTCAACATTCCTATAGCACTGCGCATATGAGAATAAAATGGCCCTACCTAGTACCTACGCAACGGAAGAACAAGTTCCGACAGGAAAATTGACGACTTCCACAACTACTACACTGTTCGTACCAATGTTGCGTTTTCGCAACCTTATATTCAAACAACTTGAAAAAATGTTCCACAATAATTTTATTCTCATTCGGCAAATGAGTATTATTTTAGGAAGTTTATTTCGTATGAATATTTTGATAAATGATGAAAAAAGTCAATCGATGATTTTATAATGACTTTTTATTATTATCGAATTTTTTGGTGGAAAATTATCAAGGAATGGTTATCGTCATACAAATTTTCAAATATTTTTCAGTACTAAAAAAATTAATTTCAGTATATTTAGATATTTCACTATTCGATACCAATGAAAGTTAATGAAAAAATCGATTTTGTTTATTGAGAAAAAAATTATATTTTTGATGTTGCGTTATCGCAACCATGGCAGTAAATGGGTTAGCAGGGTCCTTGATAATTCACGCTTCAAAGCGCAAAGTTTCTTCATATGAGAAACACAAACCTGAATTAGATATTGACTCGAACAATCCTATGGAGATATATTTTTTGTGAACCATCAACGACAAACCAAGTAAAATGAGAGATTAAAATAAACGTGGCCTTGCAGATGTGATGATGCAATGAAGCATTGTGGCACTTTTCTATCCATCATACATAAAGAAAAAAATTCGGATTCGAGTTTTTTTAGATATTTTGCATTTACTGAAGTGATGTATATTTGTTTTTCACACCATCAGAAAATACAGATTTCAACGAACAAAAAGCACTCTGACTTTTTGAAAAAAGCTGATATTTTGATGCGAGAATTTTCGATTGATATTAGGTCAGAAGAAGTTGAAACAATGAATATTCCAAATCAAATAAATTACATTGTATATGAGAAGTGAAATTGTGAGTTTTCACTAAATTTCGTAAATTTTTTTTTTGAAAAAGATAAAAATAAACTTGTTTGTTTATTTGAGTTTTTCACATAAATTTTAAGGTTATGTGGAAAAATTTCTGATACAAAAGTTGTAGATATTTTTGATAGCTATAACTTTGTCATTCAACGTTTTTCCATACGACTTGTGGTTTTTTCGAAAATCGAGATAAACCATTTTACACCCTTGAAAACTCACCCCCTTCCACTTCCTGAACTCAGATCGCGCATAATTTATTTTTCCCTCTATTTTTATCATATTCCCCTATTTTTCTAATGTGTTTAATCCTACTATTATTTTTTCACTTTTTACCATTTTTAAAGGCTTCAGCCCTAGTCTATACTCTTTCTTCGACAATATGATATCGAAGGTCTTGGTGCTTGGGTCTCTTATGACATTCCGGATTGTGAACCAACTTCACAGCATTAGCGTTGTCAGTTCATAATATTCGAGTAGTCTTCACACATAAATAGATTTCATCATGAAGACGATCCAACCAGGTTTCAGTTGCTGCAATATAGTCTGCTTCCATCATTGACAATAAAACTGGCCGTTGTTTTTGACTGGACCATAATAGTACAATTCAATTTACAGACAAATTCAGTTGACTTACGCGAAGATAAATCACCTATAGAATTGGAATCACTGTAGTTCGGGTGAGAACATATCATATCAAATATATCAACTTGATGGGGAATGCCATAATCAGTTATGCCTATAAGATATTTCAATATTTAATACACAATTTCCCAGTGATATAGTCTGGTTTCCACTCTGCTTGTGCAGACTCTGCTTCCGATACCAAGAGTTGTATTGTAGTCACTGACAAATACATAAGACTGCCTACGGCTGACCAAAAAAGGAAATTTGCAGTAATTTTCATATCTGGTGACTCATCACTAATGAACGTTTCACCACTGGAGTTTGTGTCAGAATGACACTGACACCCCAACGTTTTGTGAAAGTTTTTCAACATATATTTTCTGTCTTAGGAAACTCTTCATTCATTTATTTCAATCTGAAATTCAGTTTTCAACTCATTGGTTTCCGAGTTGGTTCCCGTACTAATCTGTCGTCAACATAAATCACAAAAAATTATACATTCAGGTATTTTCTGATAAATAAATATGCATCCGATGAACTTCGCTGCAATTCTTTTCCCTTCAAACACTCGGTGAAGCGCAGATTCCAACAACGAGGTGCCAACCATACATACTCAGCAGTAATTTGTATATTTCATCAGTACCATCCTCATAGTTATCCGGTCTCTTAATGTTGAGTTTTTCATCCAGTAATCCGTATAAAAGGTCTATCTTCATATCACATTGTGACAAGTGCAAATTTTTGGAACCAAACAGATATTGTCATCATATCGAATCAAACGAGTGGTGCAAAAGTATCATTGAAGGTAATACCAGCTTCTTGTGGAACTAACCTTGCCTTCTTCTTGAGCTGTGAATAACCAGCAATTTTCATTAAGTTTTTTTCGATAGGCAACTTCACCAATACCAAATATCACTTTCTACTAGTGACTATATTTTCCCATCCATTGCTTCTCTCCACATCTCAGATTCATTAGATGAGGGGATCTCTCCAATATTATTGTTTTTTTCACAGCGCTTTCTTTGACAGATATTTTATTTTCGAACAACGTTATTTCTGTCAGATACCATATTTTATATCCATCTTTGTTTTCGATATATCCAACCAGAAAAATTTTCTCACAATTCCTCTCTTATTCGGAACGTTTCTTTTTCTATCCCAAATGATTTTGAATGATCCACAAGATCTTGTTTTCCTGTCCAAATCATTATGGATGTCATAACTCCTCTCAATGCGGGAAATTGTATGCAACAGAATTTACCATTTCTGCCCGGTATTCAGAAAAATTCCTCTCCTCTAACAAGGTCCGTGTAGCTTCAACAAGCGTTCAATTTTCCTGTTCTGCAGCGTCATTCTGTTCAGAAGTATAAGACATGATTTACGTCATCGAATAAAACAATAATTAGTGACTATCTTTCCCATGTTCTTCTTATTCAATTCTGAAATACCAAAACTTCAAACACATCATGATTGAATTTCCATTTCAGAAATTCAATGATGTTAGTGGTATTCAACTAACACTGTGCCTTGGATTTCTTCAAGACAAAACACAATCACTACAGGAAAGTCCTTAAAGAGCTCTCAGAGCGGTGCCTGTGCGAAAGTAGTAATTCACATTGATTTTGAATCGCTGTAGATTAATACCATTCGGAAAAAAATTCTCAAGAAGTTTATCACACATAAACGCCGTTCTCAAAATGGAATTGTTTTGAACAGTGGAGTCTGAGGTGTACTGAGTTGAACCTCAAAACGATGAGCACCCACAGTTCGTCGCGTATTTCTGATATGTACCACTCTTGGTGAAATCAAATGTGCTAAGTCACTTGAATATTTCCCGGGAAAGTATTTATAGAAGAGAGACCAATCTCCAACTTTTCTTCGATGTTCCAGACTATTAAGGTTGCAAGTGATGTTCGCGTCTCCAATCAGGCGGATAGCTTTTTTCTGGATGGAATCCAAATGGAATCAACTCATGAACAATTTCATTAATGCTTCCCACCAGGTTTATCAGTTTTTCCACCATTGAACCATGAAAAAGTTTTCTTGAATGGTATCCCAAACCAATTAAAAATACAAGATATGAAAAAACTGATCCGGCATCCATGAAGTATAACTTCAACTCCTGAACACCGGTTTGTGGGTGACCTAATGACTTAAACAACGTCCTTTTGTTAAAAAAAGGAAAGTATCTGCAAGAATTATCACGGTGAAGTAATATATGCAATAACCATTGCGGTATCAGCGAAGAAAGTACTTGTTTTCTGGTAGCATTGGCCAAAACCTATTGTATTGAATAGTTAGGAGCGATAGAAACTCAGTTGGGCTGATATTATACAGTGTGTTCATTTACTAGGGTACGAAACTACAGGGGGTGATTCGTGAGGTCGTTTCAAGAAAAAAAGTTTCTATGAACATATGTCCGGAGTTGCTTCGTTTCTGATATACAGAGCGTTTTAAAAAACGGTATTTATTGAATTTACTAGTTGAATTTACTAGTGATAAGGCGCTTAGTTAAACCAAACTAGATTGGAATCATTAGGTCTAGTGGCATCTCAGTTGGCACCAGAGTAAGCAATAAAAAAAAGAACGCCGCCGACTTTTTTTTAGTTTTTTCGTTTCTTCAGATTAGGCAACTGAAATATAACTTTTTCGTTTCCTCTGTTTTCTCCATACTGAGCTCAATTATCTAGAAAAAAATCACGTCTAAAAAGTATGCGTGGACAACATAAAATAAAAACCAAAGGTTAATAATGAACGATTTCGACCTTAAAGTGAATAAGAAAAATGTCCACCTTCTGAAAAAATACACGACTGCAATCGATTTGTTATAGATTGTCTGACACGTTCAAAAATACCTTGAGTATTCCTTATGACATTGCAATTGATAATTATTCGATTTCTCAAGTCATTCACATCTCATACAGGAGCTTTATAAACGGAAGCCTTCGAATGACCCCATGAATATAAATCTGTGAGATTCACATCAAGACTGCGATCTGGAACCGTCCTTGAGATTTTTGGGCTGACTTCCAGCTGCAGTGAAATATTTCTGGTACTTTTTGAAGGATCTTCTTCTATCGCATAATGTATAGCTTCTTCTTGTTCAGGCGTTATTACAATTTCTAGTTAGCCATCACCTGCATTTTTATCAAAACTTCCAGTTTTACATAATCTCGCTTGTAACGTTTTAAATGTCTTAGCACATGGAATAACCCTTGTGTCTTGGCAAATTCTTTGTGCTTCTTCCGCATTTCCGTTTGCCAATCCATAAATAAGTGCACGTCAGCCATTTCAGCGTTCATAAAATCATTCATAATGGAATTACTGCTAACTGGCAACTCTGACTTTCACTGATATGACAACACTTTCACTGTCAGCTGATCTCCAAAACCGGAGTTCATGATATGCAAAGTGGCTCCAATTTTTTTTTCGAAAACGAAGCTAGACATGAAGGAAACAGAGACGAAAAAACTGTATCTCCAGTTGAATAATCTAAAAGAAGTAACAAAATTATAATAACAAGTCAATGGCATACTTTATTCCAATATTGTAGGTTTTGGTGATCATTGAGACTCCATTGGACCTAATAATTTCAATTTGTTCAGGGCTAAACTCAACCTAACCTAACCTAACCCCTCTGAAGTTTCGTATCGTAGGAAACACCCTGTATATTAATTCTTGTTTGTAGTTTTAGTTTGAAAAATGTACCAAAACCACAGGAGTTTTCTGTTGATGTCAAACAAACTCAAACAATGCCGTTTATTTCCAATCGATTGGTTTTTTTATAAAATCCTTCATTTTCCGAATATTTTTAATATTAAAAATTAGTTCGCTGGTTGTGTATTTCTGAACAACAAATAAAGTCGGAATCATCGGAATTCTTCATAAAATTTGTACTACAACTCAAAAAGTAATGAGTACGAATCCTTTCTCTGATACTGACCTGTATGAACGCAATACACATTGTTCCTATTTTCAACAAAAGAGCACACTCTGTAACAATTAGGGTGATCTGGTTCAAGCAACCCCGTTTATACAGACTGGTCTCATTAGAACATCTCTCGGAACGGCAGCATGAATCAGGAACCGCATACTCAGTTGAAGAATTAATAATGGAATTCACAACAGGCTTCAAGTTGTATTTTCCTTCATAACGTTTCCAGTCATTAGGGCCATCAATACCACAGCAACGTAACTGGAAAATAAACTCTCAGATATATATCTGAATCAAGATCATGCACATCTATTAGTGTTGTTTCCGAAAGAAACAAAGTTTACTGTTGAAATTGAAAGTACAGAAGTAAACTCAACTTCTCTTGGACTCAGTAATCAAAGCATCAGTAATCAAACAGTATAATTCATACTTTTTCATTCATTTATTGTCATTTTATTCATTGTCATTTATTTTTCCCCCCTTCATTTATTAATTATGTAAGTTCTACTTACGTTATACTGTGTTGCATCCCAGACGAAGTCAGCATATGATTCATAATAATCCATAGAGCTGTTCATTTCTTTTCTTATCTCTTCACGAATATCCCCCCTCATCGTTAAAGCAGCAATACTTGTAGCGAATTCAAGAATGAGCACCAATGAGAGTGAAAGTGCAAACTGAAACAAATCGGATTATGTATTTCATGAGCCTGAGGTGTGGATTCGTCCAAAAGTCATGATTTGAAATTTGAAATGTGGCGGGTTGGCTGTCTTGTTTATCTTCCACTGCCTGAACCAGTGTGCATGCTGTTTTTGGTGAGTGCATTAGCTTGGGATGTGGGGGTTGAGCGAACAGGCCGTCGGATGCCTGCTTCCACATAGCCCCGCTGGAGACGGTAATGACAGAATCACTTGTGGTTCCTTTATTCCCTAACTGAATAGCATCCCAACGATAACTTAATCCTGAGGGGTGTGTATCCTTGTGAGAGGATAAATGACACTGAGTCTATCAGTTGTCTCTACGGAACCTTCGAAGTACCGAGCGCCCCCTCGTTGTAGCATCGCCTTGTCACGGTAATGCGGAGCTCTGCCGTGATTGACCTTTCCCTAGCTACTTGTGGGACTTTTATGGACAGAGTAAACTGACGCTGAGTCTACATAGGAGATGGATGTCGAGCTTATTGTTCACTGTTTTTCTAATATTGTTATCAGTGAAATAGCCTTATATGTTGATTATACAAATTAAGTATTCAAGACATTCCTATCAGTACATTGATTGGAAATAACAAACGTGATTATTATTATTATTGAAGAAATTATGAAAGAGACAACATAGGTATACATTGTGGCCTATTTGAAATGAAAACTGTATACATTTCTTATATAACTACAAAATCATATACTCTAAGGTCGGACCATGGACTAGACTTTAAAAAATATTCTCAATCGATTCAAAGTATTTCTATAATAAAATAAATATTCCAAAAGTATATTTTGGAATATTGATCCTTCCCAAATACCTACATCGTAGGTTCTGGTAAATGTCTGCCGGAAAACAACTACTTCTCAGGCTAACACCACGTTGGATATTGAATTATATGCAACTCACATTTATTCAAAATATCTCACAGTGGTTATTGTTGTCAACCAGCAGCAGGATTACGCTGAAATCATTCGAGTATAGATCACCTACAGACCGGTTTCGAAGTATTTCCTCTCATCCGTGCAGGACAGATCTGGTTAGGTCTGAAGTGAGTGGGTCTATTCAAGCCTCAACCGTAACCCGCAAGGGTTTATTGTGACTCACACCTACTCACACTAAGCCGAATAAACCCAGATTCTTAACGAAGCCCATTAGTTTGTATAGTGAGTGGTCTTTCAGGTCAGATGGTGAAAGTACGGCTCTGCTGAACTCTAAGAACCTGATTCGGTCTCCAGCGGGGCAGGCAAAAAGTATGTGCTCTGCTGTTTCATCATTTTCCAAACAGAGGCGACACACACTATCCGACAGTCCAAGTATCTGCATATGATGATTCAAATGACAGTGACCTGTAAGAAGGCCTGTAAGACATCGTAGTTCATCCCTACTGTAGTCCAACAACTGTTTGGTATCAAGCTTCGAAGGGTGAATAAACGCCTTGGAGTGAGCCAATCCTGGAAGAATCTGCCAGAAGTCTATAAATCTTCTTGCAATCCAGGTGTTCGATGTTTGTTTGGCAAAGCCTAAGGCGATGCCAATGACAGGTTCTGGTCCGATGAAGCTGCAGCACCCTCCTTTGCAAGGGAGTCAGCAGCTTCATTGCCTTCCAGGCCAGGACAGATCTGACCCAAACAGTCAAATGCCTGGGACTTGATTAAACGTGATGCGACTCGGTTGCATATATGAAACCTACGTCTGAGAGAAATATGATTAACAAGTATCAGCCTCATCTCATGAACAAAGCCCCAATCGAGATGAACGAGAAACACTTGCGAGAACAAACTGTGTAGGTAGTTGAGAGAGATTTCATTTCGAAAATCACTTTGTATGGAATTCAGTTTGTTTTGAAATAAATCACGAGTGAGTTGGTTGAAACAATCACGATCAGAATACAATACATTTAGAGAAACGAATCTTCTTCAATATTACTCATTTGTTCAATGAACAAATGTTATATCAATCGAAACTATGAAGCCCATAGAATAAACAAATGTTCAGTTTGACTATATTTTGGCGGGTTGTCTGTTGTAAACGGGTGAATCAAAACTGATAATTTACACCTATCTGTTTGATGAGTGACTCGAATGACATAAGAGCTGATCTATTGCAAATATGATGACATTGGGTTGTTTGCAGAAAACTTGTTAAGAATGACTATTGTCGATCAATAATTCAATAATGAGCCTTTTTCCTGAGAATAGTACAGCGAACGTGTCACGAGAGGCAGCACTAGTAGTAGGGACAAACAAAAACTATTCACATGTAAAACAGTGTTATTTATGTAATATTCATTTATTATTTAAAAATATAAATCTGATATAAAAAATCATCTTGTGGTAGTATAATGCCAACAAAGCATTGTTGTTTTGCGAATTGTACGTCAGATAATCGATATCCGGAGGAAAACGTGGTTTTTTATACCATTTATAAAACCTCATTTCAATGAGGTTAGATGTAAGAAATGGATACATGCTTCGACGAGAGTGGATTAGAGTGCCATAAATGAATATATATTCATATGCATGTAAACATGAAATGAATAGTACATTTTACATCGTTAATTATTTAGAATGAGATATAACCTCAATAGTTTTTCAAATCATATCCATTCATTATATTTAATTAAATTCATTTCATTACCATCTATATTTGATTCATACTTCACTCGGAAATAAATCTGAAATTCATAATTATTTTCAATTTCATTTATTGCAATTTGAACTACCACTACTATTTTACTAGCTGTCTATCAATTCACTTTTTTCCCAGTTACTTTTAAATTACGGCATGCAAGCCAACGTTTTAATGTTACAACATTGTTATCCTTTACAGTTGCAAATTTTAGTTTTCCTCCAGGAACATCTTCTTGAGTTAAAAACATTTTTTTTTAATTGTACTTCACCATATGTTTATACGAGGATTAGGCAGTGTTTGTCCCTACCGAACTACCAGCGCTGCTAGTGAGTGATTTTTCGTACTTCAGGAAAAATATTCATTAAGATGCAAGTTACGTACAAAAAACAGAATCTACCCACATTCACTCACCTCGTGAGAGATGAAGAACTCTCATGGAATGGGATCGAAAAATGAATATCCCTGTATCATTTCTACAGGGCGTGCAATTATTGTGATTTCAAATTAAGCTACACGGTATTTTTCAAACTACTGCGGCTTTAGCATTCATGTCGCAAGTTGTGAAGGTTTTATCAGCTTTGCAGAGTTTCAGCCAATGCATTATTAAAGAATGTACCAGGAAGTCGTAAAAATCTTTCCCACGATAAAACATGGTGAAAAAAATTGTTATTCAAACCGCCCCATTAGTGAACAAAAAAAATATGACTCTTGAATTTATCCACAATAGAAATCAGCTACACGAGCTTGTTCAGGAGTTGATACTGAGTTCTTATACTTCGAAATTTCGTATGCAACAAAAATAATTCAAAGGGTTTTGATTACCTTAGTCATAGTTGGGGACATTTGTACCAGAATTACACATCTGCTAGGAGAAAATTCCATTATGACAAATACTGGAACCCAACTGGGAAAAAAACTTCATCAGGAAACATTGAAAGGAAGGAAACATTAAAAAGGGCTTTCAAATGTTTGCCTTCGATATGCTGTGCTACATCTTCATGAATAAACTCTACTTTGAATCACCACCCCATTTGTCCCAAAAAACCTACAGAAAGTGAATACTTCTGCAAGCTAAGGACTAATGAGGTCTTACCTTTTAACGTGTGATCCCTTACATGGGTGAGTGAGTGAATGACGATATGTTGTCCAAAGAGGAAGAGAGTAGAAAATACTGTCATGAATTTTCGAGAATAGGATATTCAGTAGATGGTCTCAAAGCGGGTTTCGATGATAAAATTTTTTGAATATGATCTAAGCAGAAATGGATTGTGTATTGTTGTGTTTCTCATATTTCGAATGAATCGAATGATTAAATTCAATCTGCATTTTTATATTGGTTTCTGTTTATTTCCTTCGATTCAGTCAGTTTTTGTTTTTAGATGAGCCGTAATATGGCCTTTTTTGTTTTTTATCTATTGACAAAGAATAATAATCATTCTGCTTCATGGACTCGTGTAATAATGTTCAGTTTCGTTTGAACTTTGGATTAAAATTTTGAGTATTTAATTTTATAGTGTTTGAATAATGGCAGAAAGGCATAATTTATCTCGTGATGAAATTTTGAGGGCTGTGGGGTGGATGTTGCTAACGAGTTAGGTACCACACAGAGTGTTATATGCCACCCGGAGTGTGAAATGCAGGAACGTATATTTGCCAAATACTCCAACCTGTTTTCCTCCATACGCCGCAGCAGTTGATGACAATTTTTTATGATGCATGCATGCATGCCAGAATAACCTAGAGATATTTGAGGCTCTTCAAGTCGTCTGGCAGGCAAAACCGTCATGAATCCTAGTCAATTCAATTGTATAAGTATGCCCGGAAGATGTGGAGTATTTGCCGCGAAAAATATACTCCGTACTAGCTTCAAGTTTCGGTAAGAATACTTAAGTTCAACGATTAATCTATTTTATCTTTACATTTTTTATCAAATCATCATAATCTTGTAATTATTTGTACTGAACTAGTAAAATTGATTCATTGAAGAACCTATGCGACTATATTTCAAGCGAATATTCACGCTATTGAAAGGTGTGCGACAGCTGGTGAAGACTCAACATATTGTTTCTGGTCTGGATTCTTTGCCAAACTGGGTCTAGAAGGCAATGAAACTGCTGACTCCATTGCAAAGGAGGGTGCTGCAAGCAGCTTTATCGAACCAAAACCTGTCATTGGCATGGCTTCAGGCTTTTGCCAAACAAACATTGAAGACCTGGATGGCAAGAAGATGTATGAACTTTCGGCAAAGTCTTCCAGGATTGGCTCACTTCAAGGCGTTCATTCACTCTTCGAAGATTGATGCCAAACAGTTGTTGGAGTACAGTAGGGATAAACTACGATGTCTAACAGGCCTTCTTACAAGACACTGTCATTTGAATCATCAGTATGAAGACAGTGTGTCAGCACAGCACATACTTTGTGCCTGCCCCGCTGGGGACTGAATCAGGTTTTTAGAGTTCAACAGAGCCGTACTCTCACCATCTGACTTGAAAGACCACTCACCATACAAACTAATCGGCTTCGTTAAGAAGCTGGGTTCATTTGGTCGAGTGTCAATAGATGTGAGCCACACAAACCCTTGCGGGATGCGGTGGCTAGCTTCAAGTTTCGTTAAAAATACTCGAGTTCAACCAATAATCTATTTTTTTCTACAGTTCTACAAGTAATAAACTAATAAAATTGATTCATTAAAGTATTTAAATATCCAATTTTTCTAAAAACATGTTGTTGAAATTGTTGAATATGATTTCTCATGGATGTAAAATTGAGGTTTTTGATTTTTTCTAAAATTCATTTTATGAGGTACCTAACAACTTCATATTTGCTTCAGGTGATATTCCACATCACTTTTCAAAAATATGCATTTGGTTCACGAATACGAGATCGATAAGAAATTCAATTAATCCCTTACGTATTCTTCATATAAGACAATTCAATTTCACGGGTCATATGTCATCGTCAACTCATTTTCAAGATCTACAGTATCATCAAATGAACGGAAAGAATATTCATGATCGAAAAAATCATTATTAACAATGATTGAGACATACATTTATGATGATATTCCGAAATGAATAATATTTTTATATCATTCGCTTCTCTAAGTATCTAATTTTTTTATCTACTATACCATGTTTTGCTATATCACTTGAAATTTTCTATTTGAAATCACTTACCATATTCATGAGACAAACACTTTCTTTCAGGGCACCGACACATCCGAACAACGAGACAATAAATATTATAATCCCAACGGCAATAGCTAATTTTGATGCATTGTAGTAGTGGTCAATCAGAAATTCATCAAAGTCACTGTAGATAGCTTTTATAGTCGTTCCGATAGAAATAAGCAGGAATCCAACCAACTGAAAATGTAAAAAAAGTTATTTTAAACACTTCAAAATATTGTAGTGATACAAATAACATTCTGTAAAGTTTTCCAAATGGGTTTTACCGTAGTTTCAAATATTCATTTCATTCAGAAGCTGATATTTAGAGAATCAGAATGATAAATGCCTCTTCTTGTGAAGAAGCGGCTGATCTTTTGTTGAAAAAATATTACTGGCTGACAAAATTAGATATTACAAACAATGTAGCATAACATTGATATCTTTCATAAAGGTATAAGAGAGGAAGATACTAAACGTTGAAACTACAATGAGTTGTGATATACAACCTTTAGAAATATTGATTCGCTGGAAGAAATCTGGTCCTACAATTACACCCAAATGTATCATGGTAGGTACTTGCTAGTTGACATCTATCGAAACTAGCAAATTGGAAGTGACAGATGACAATTCAAATAGCAAAAAGGGAAAACCATTGCATAATTCGACAGGCTTAAGAACGGTCACAATTGTACAAAAAAAAAATCTGTTTCACCAAGACAGCGTATCGTCTCACACTTAACACATCTTCAAACATGACTCAACCAAACTATTACGGAGGTTCGACATAGATGAACATTTCAATCTAGCAGACCACTATTATAACCTTCATGCAGTCATTGTTCACTGTAGTTCTGGCGTTGAATCTGGTCATTATTACGCATTGGTCAAAGACGAAACGGACTGGTTTAAGTTTGGCGATAGTCGTGTCACTAAGTGTTATGGCGATATCTTGAATTTATTGGAGCCTCTGAAGATACCTTACATTTTGTTTTATGAAAGAGAGGACATTGGCAGATCAAGATCTTCAGATTATGTAGTGCTTCAGGTTTTTTCCGGGTTTTCCTGCAGCTGAAAAGCCAAATGTGCTACTGGAATCAATGAAGTCGCCTCGGAGCGACAGTTAATTTTTGTCGTTTCATAATTTTATAATTTGTTCAACTCCCTTTCTTAATATACTCTTTCATTTATTTGAATATGGCATTCTCCGTGATTTAAGGGCTAATTGAGTGATCTGATTTTGATTTCAGTGATTTTCAGGATGGTAGAAACTTATGTATTGGGTAAATATTCAAAATTTTCTGTATGCTAGATACAATCATTCACTTCGCATGTATCCTTTGAATAGCAGGGATTAGTATGGTTATCTACAAAATTTGAAGCATGAAATAGAGAAGTCTGATCTATATTTTTCCTTCCTTTGAAGTTTTGTCACTATTCTGTATCTGTAGACTAGGGAGGGTTAGTGTAAGCCCACAGCACTTGGCCACATGTGTCCCATTGTACATCTTTCCGAGGAGTTGTCCTCCTAGGTCATCGTCCATCCTGTCCTCTCCGAGAAGGTGGACAGGTCAAAGGGAGACATCCTTTATATCGGAAGGTGTAGGCCAAGACTCGCCGAACACGCACTTTCTTATTGACGATAACTCAGAGCACTCGCATAGGACATGTCTGACAGTCTCATTTTCCTGTTCACATATCCTGCACAAAGGTGTCTTCACTAGCCCCATATAATGGAGGTGTTTCTTTGAGTGACAGTGGCCAGTCAAAAATCCTAATGTTAAGCGTAGATTTTTCCTGGTCATCTCCAGATATTTCTTCGGCGCCAGCTTCCCAGGGTTGCCCAGGGTGATCCTGGCAAGATTGCATCCTTCGATTTCATCTCATTTCTCTAGGGGTTGAGCATGGTTGTAACATTTGGTTAGTTCCGTAATTGTCGAAGTCATCAGGCCGTTGGTGCCACTGGTTCCTGAAATCCTTACTCCAGCCGCTTCCTTGTCTGAAGAGTTGGCAATGCGATTACCTTTACTCCTGTCGTGCTCTTTAACCCACCTCAGGATAATGGTATCATCTACCGAGGCTTTGACTAAATCTTGGTGGCACTCTGGTACTATCCCTGAGGTAACACGTTGCCTGTTGAAGACTAATAGGGCTTGTCTGGTGTCAGTGCAGTACACTCTGGAGTACACTCCACATCCTGAGGCTTCTTTGGTTTTTGAGCCGTGTGTATATATGCGTATTGAATTTGTAGCATCTGACTCTGTGTTCTGTTTTATTAGTATTCTGTAGGATTTATTAAACACAAACCTAGGTTCAATTGCATCACTGGTTGCCTGCAGCAGAGGTTGCGCAGTATGCGTTTTTCACCATAGGTTCAGCCTCAATTGACCCATTCCTACTATGAGGTTTACATCAGCCGTGCGCAGTCGTAACATGGCCATTAACGCAAACTCCTTTACGTCTCTATTTCTAGGAATTGAACGGCTTGATCAGTGACAATGAGGATGTATTGTTTGTTTTCCATCATCTTCTTGAATAACGTAAGAAAAACCCAATATATCCGAAAGCAATAAAAAAAATTTAATCGATAAACATCATTTGCATGACCGCTAAAGAGCGGAATATAATGAAGTTCGATAATTTTTATCGCAGTGTTTAGAATACATGATGTTACTGATAAAGCTTTTTTGTTTCTACGCAGATGAGTAAAACGTACTAGTTTCATAAGTATTTCAATTTACTGTACAAATTAGTACAGCTTATTAGCTTGGAGATATAGTGTAAATTATCACTATTAGGATTCATGTTCGCGCTACTAAATACAACTGAATATTTGTTAATTTTCGTTTCACTATCTTTATGAGGTTGTAAATAAGGCAACACTTGATGAGATCAGGTATTCGTTAAGATTTTTATAGATACTTCATTATTAACATTCGACATTTTATTACAGTGATAATCAGAAGTAAACAGTTTTTAAATGAAATATTCATTTGTTGAGCAACAGTTTGATCTTCACAGAATTGATCGATATTAAAAAATTTCATTAACCTATCATTTCACAGATACGAACAAATTTCAACTACTAACCAATGCAAACTGGTCTACTAACATCTGTGTTATTTTTCAAATTCGTTCATGAAATTTCGTTGAAATAACAGTTTTTCATTTCAAAATACCAAATCACACACGAAAAGTATTCCATTGAATACCCTCTTTCAAAAAGTATGACTACCTCACTGAATATGAGTACCACCTTACTGCTGATGTGATTCGTAAAATAAAATCTTCACACATATTAATACTTTGAAAAAATGATAAATGTTTTTAAACGTGAGCTGATTCAGTGGTTGAGCCTGATAACAATTATTTTATCATTCTCTGAATCACGCCCCAGAAGATAAAAAACTCATTTTTTCCGCAAACATGTAGAAAGTCATGGACTACTGATAATTTCACGACTCCAATTTTTCTTAATTAATCTAAACAAGTGATTCAACTATGAATAAATCAGCTACTAACTACTGAACACAATCATTGTAAATTTCTTATTGCATACACCCTAAGACTTATGTGAAAATCAAATTCTTACCACAAACATGAAATTTGCGACGAAAATCATATATTTGATACATCGCATGTTCATATTCAATTCTTTCTCCCTGATCATTTTGGAAAACTTAATAATTCACAACCGAACAATAATGAAACAAAATTCACTGACTGTGTGAAATCGCGTTGAATGTTAACCTATTGTGGTACCTGTTATCTATGTTCAGATAAGATTGCGATTCAGTTGGTTGACGTGGAAGATTAAAAACACATAAACAAACTTTATTTGGCGTTGGCGTACTTCATGAGTGTGAGAATATAGTGTTTGAGTCTTTCATTTTGTAGGGAAAAATCACTGCCCTAAATTATTATTCATTTCACTATAAACAGACAGTACAAAAACGTAATTTACTTTGGGGGATACATTTTGCCGAAGATTTTGAATCTATCTGATCTATTTTACTCTCACTGAAAATGAAAACCACATAACATACGTATCTAAAAAAACAAAAAACTTTGCTAATGTCGCGCTTATTGTATAAGTTTTTTATAAGTACTATTGCTGTTTCAGAATTTGTCGATAGTTCAATGTGTGATGTTATTGCCAAAAAACTGCAGCGCTATCTATTGGTGAAGTCAGAAAAATACATATACTACTCCTTGAGAGTCAAAGTGGGTTGCATAAAAATAAGATTATAGAGTTAGGAAATAGCCGAAAAATATCCTGGAGAGGATGGTATATATCCAGCCGTTTTTCAAAATTGTTTGGGAATGATTTTACCTATTCTCATAAAATTGTATAGAGCTTGGTGTGGAACTACGTACCACCCATCTGGTTGGTAGCAAAGGTGGTATATGTACCTAAAGTGGGTTGGAAAAAGCCAATCCCCAAATCGGTACGACCAATCAGCCTTACATCCTTCTTGTTGAAAGGACTCCAAGGTAGCTTTATATGTTTCGCCAACCAGTATGCATCTTAAATCGGCAAATCGACAAATTAAGCATCAAACATCCTTGTAGAGAAAATTTCCCAATCTCTTGACAATAAAGAGATTGCTGCATTTCACGTTATTGAAGAAGCATTTGACAATGCACTACCTAAATCTATAGGATCAACACTAGCTGGAAAATGCATTGAATCGATCGTCACTGCCATGCTGGTAAATGAAACTTCAACTACGACTCTTCGCGATAAGACCATCAAGTTCGAGGTCACCAGGGGCTGCACTCGAAGTTGGGTACTATTTCCCCTCCTGTGGTCGCTTCCGATGGATATTTGGTTGATGCTCTTGTTAAAAGAGAAATAAATCTTCAAGCTCATACAGATGACCTTGTCATCTTGGCAAGGTCCACGTCGAGAGGGGTACCATGTGATGTTTTTCAAAGTAGGATGGAGGTGATTCACAGTTGGTGCCAGAGAAAGCGGATGTCTGTCAACCCCAGCAAAACTGTGTCAATCCCCTTCACCAGGAGGATAAAATTGGCGATTCAACGCCACTTTCCCCCGGTGGTGCCCTCATGAAAAACTTACCTGGAACGCTCACTTGGAAAAAAAATTACACAAATCCAGACTGTTCGTATATATGTCGCAGGATTCGACTTTGGGTTTATGCCCTGAACAAATCCATTAGATATTTGTGATGATTGTCAGACCAATGATGAAATATATCCTCCTCTTCATATTTTTCTGAAGATTGAGGCTAGATGGACTGCATACAGACTTGTGCACATCGCCAATGGCATGAACCAATGTAATGCAGAGTATACTGAACTGCTGGTTGACACTGTAACTCATAGCCTTCTGGAAATGACGAACTGCCTTATACAGTCCTGTTCTCGAGTATAGAGCACTGGATCATCCGGGAGAAGGAAATATTGAGAGCAGATAGTTGGTGATCCACAGATGGATCAAAAACACCTTCAGGCTCTGCTGCAGTTGTTTAAAGTTGCAAACCCAAGACAGAGATATCAACCTGCCCATAGACCTATGCGACTGTATTCCAAGCGGATATCTATGCTATTGAATTGTATGCGGAGAGATTGGTAGAATCCAACCTAAACCACAAGTCAAATTCGCGCATCGCTATACGCACTACTTCATAGGGAGGCCATTGAGATCTTTGATCATCCCAAACTAAAATAAGAAGGTATACGAATCGACAGAAAGTGGTATCCAGTGCTCGAGAAGGCCAAAACTGAACCTTAATACAACTACAGTAGTGATGAATTGAGTAGTCTAAGCAGAATCTGTATCAGAAGGAAAAATACACTCTACCTGAACAGAACAGCAGAAGTTCACTCTCAAAGAATGATTCACCCAAATTGACTCACGAATGTGAAAAAGTTGCTGTGTCCATAAAATTTTCAATCTTGCACCTTGAACATCAATAGCAACCAGTCAATTGGAATTTTTTTAGTGTGTCATTATGGCTACTCGAGAGAATTTTTCTGAAAGTACGATTCCAGATTTGCACAGTTTGATCTAAATGTGACTGAGGTATATGTTCTGGCTACTGAGTGCAGTTTGTTTTCCGCAGTCATGTGAGGGCATCTTTCTGAAGTGGATCGCAGGAGTCCTACTTTCCATGTCAAACCTTTCTGTTGCTTGCTCATTAGAAAGTCTGCCGGTGAGATCTTCACTAGTTTCACGAAAATATACGAAGGTCTGTCAACCAAATTCCAAGAAAATTCAGTTTCCGGTAGCAGAACACAGTTCTGTGGCTGCCACGTAGCACCATTGATCAGCTTTTGAACATTTGGCAGTATTTTTCTTTTGCCAACTGTGAAACATCACTCACCCAGCTCGATTCATTCAGTCGAGTATAACATTAGTGTGTGTCATAATATACCCTGAAGGGGTCGAATAGATCCAATGATTTTGAAAGTACTCTACCCCAACCCAAGTTAAAACAAGTTTCTTTGCAAAATATTGTTCAACATTGATCAGTAATATTGAACCTGAAATTGCAGGTCAACATCAAATCGGTAAGGTATGACAAACAAATTTGATCTGTATGCTTCTGAAGTACTATATTTTTCTAGAAAAAGCTTTAGAAATAATTGACCATCTTTTCTGCATCATCAAGGCTGATTGCAGTGAAACTTCAACTTTTTGATACGGAAAGTCGTTGTTAATTTGATAGATGTTGGGCTCTACTAGAACATCATGGAAATCTGCATCCAAACAAGTCAGTTGTTGTGGCTTGAAGGGCCTAGTTCTTTGAGACTCGGTATGTATTTCAATTGTTTTACTGGTGGTATTGTGAATATCCTATCTAGCCGAGCCAACGGGTGGTGGTGAAATTTACACCTCTATCACTTTGTTGGTATGATAGAAAGAAACTACGTAGCCTATTCAAAGAATGTGCTGATATAATCAACCGATAATTACACACCAAATTCGTGAAGTAGGGGATTATTGGTTATGAAAAAAGACAGCCTTCTGCACTCGTGAGGTTCTCATAATCAGAACGACTATCCCAACAGTTTGATTTGATTGCGTACTGCTCTCATTATCTTTCAAAGAGGACTATATGTATATTACCTCATATTTTACAGAACGTATTGAATAATTATTTTCATTGAATTTTCCACTTCTTATTCCTCACAATAGATTCAGTATACCTTGGAAAGTAAAACAACTGCTGTCCCAACTATAGCAATGTTGTTATGCTACGTTTTGTAGGTGGATGATATAGACTGAGGATGCATATACTGCACAAACCGACAGAAATTGCATACGGTCTCAGGCACCTCGTAATAGGCCGTGTATCTTGTGTCAGAAACCTCTATACCAATAAGTGACTGAGATATCGAAGACACCACCCTCAACACAACAACATCTATTTCGGAATTTGTAGGATAATAATTTATACAGCCACTCACTAGATGTATCTGGCTGAAATTGTGTTGCTCTCTAAAATTGGTAGTTGAATGAAAGGTTGATATGTAGATTCAAAGATATTGATTCTTGTGAATGAACCAAGGTAACCCAATGGGTTGTTAAAAATTTTTAAAGATTGAAACATGAAGATAACCTTGAAATTACATAGTATACTTCAATGAATGTTGCAAATAAAATAAGGTGGAAAACGAGAAGTCTGGGATTAACTGAATGTTCTGTGAGGTTTGTGTAGAAAAGTATATTGGGTAAACTGAGCAGATTATAAAAATTCGTTTCATGAAACATATTTCACATGATCGGGTTTGTAGACCAAATAATATAGGACATCAAATGAAGGACACTCAATAAAATCCTAGAAATGTTATTTTGTTACTTTGTAATCATATCTGAATATAATAATCTATTCGTTGATGACTAATTGTCTATTAACCTAGTTCTACTACTTATTACGTAGGATAGTGAAGATCGAACTGTTTGAAATTCGACCTACACCTCCAGTTCGCATCATACATTTCCCAATATCTAAACTTCAAGTCTAAACAATTTAAATTCGCCTTTTATTCTGTTCTCATTCTTCAAGATATGCCGAGCAACAACTAGATAATTAGTCATCAACGAATAGATTATTATATTCAGATATAATTACGAAGTAACAAAATAACAATTTTAGGATTTTATTAAGTGTCCTTCATTTGATATCCTATATTATAAAAGGTATAAGTGAGGTCTAACTTGTCTAATTGCATGTAAAACAGTATTACTAGTAGCATATTATCAAGTCACATGATTATTGAAGATGAAAATGAATAAATGAATTTTCTTCTATTGCAAATCGTCGGCCTAAGATGCATATGTCCTAACTCCACTTTATGCCGCAATCGAGCTTTCGCTGCCCTCTGGTAGTCAAACGACCACCTCATCTATTGACAGTCGTTCTATCATCAACATACCACTCTTCGCGCTCAAATATACGAAACGCGTTTTGCGAAACTCCACTGCATTCAAATTCAATAAGCAAATTGCCGAACTCCCAGTTTCAACACAGAGAGCAAAGTGTGTGTGCATGTCTTCTCTTGTTATGTGTTAAAATGTACATTCGAAAGTGAGTATTATTCGATTATAATAATCAAAATGAATCTTGGTGGTTTATGAAGCTTATAAACAATAGTTTCAGGTGAGATATCTAGTAATTTTTCATTCAATTTCACCACAAATTGGTTGGTGAGGAGTTAGGCCATCATAGATCTTCTGTAGACAGGAGTTTGGTCATCTGCTCTCTAAATTGAATTCAATGTTACTGGCCATTTCTGGAATCTATGTTATCAACTTTCAGTGAAAAT